ACGAGTTTTTTGTTTCAATATTTATTGTTTGCATTGATTGCTTATGGTTGATAGCTTCAACTTATATTAAGTTTTTTCGAACCCCCATATACCTTCTCTCCTCGCATTAAAGGAAACGCTTCTCTATGGCTCCGTCGAGATCTATAATAATGGAGCCGGCATGACAATGAGATGCTCAGCTCAAGACGTCGTGCTGAGTCTATTTGCTAGCTTACTCGTGCCAGCCATGATTGAATCTTGAGGTCAACGCAGATCTGTGCTCGACCAAACTAGTGACATCCTCAGCATTAGCCGGACAAGCAAACTAAGATCTTTATTAACACTTACGCTTTTTGTTTAGCCGAACTTCACAGGATAAAGCCAAGGAAAAGAGCGTAGATGTTGACCTTGGCTTACCACGGTCCGATCGACATTTAATTTTGTGTGCAACCAACGCTGCTGGGCTGACAGTAAAAAAATTTACACAATAGGGTTTTTTCAATTACAGAAGCTAATTTTACGAACCGAATCAAAATTTAGGTTGTTCTGATATTACACCGATGCAGGCAGTAGTGAAAAAACGATATTTATTGTGACTTGTGAGTTGTTCACCTAACGCCCTCAAAACAGGCGAAAGACATCTATAGTATACTTCTTGGCGCCTGCTCGATGATTTACATCGAGTACTCATCTCGGTTTACTCTGAGCAAACACCAATAAATCTTTTCACAGTACGGGCGTCAAAACTGCCGCTTCGAGTCAGCCTAACAAATGACGCTATTTGTTACGCCGCAAAAATTTAAACCGCCATTACGCGCAACAAACGCACAAACAAAATATAGGCTTATTTCCATAAAACTGACACGCGGACTCTCTTTCTGGTCGAAAGTATGACAACCGCTTTGCTTTTTGAAAAAAAGTCTCGCCTAAATGAAACGATGATACAAATAAGATTATTTAGTCGCTCATGCCCATCGAGTGCTTCGGACCACAAAAAAATGACGAAAGAACCTTAATTAGGCTCATAACGAGTGGGCCCCGAACTTGTTAAAATTTCGATAGTTGAAAGCCCACGAACTCAATAAGATTTTTTTACACATTTAGATTGGTAATTCTATTGATAGCAATACGTACCATACTCCTCGAGCTCTGAATTTATTTACTCAAATTACTACAATGCCATCTTTCAAAGTACCTATTAGGGACTTCACAGATCACACCGAAAGTGCGACGTCATGCACGTCTCAATATTCGCTTTCATCACTGAGATGAAGCTGAATGACTGGGAGGTCCGAGTTCATACATGTCAATGCTCACCTGAAGTACTTCATCAGGATCAATGGCACGAGTGAGACTTGGTTGAGAACCTGAGCTGTGTCTGTCCGTCCAGACAATTATATAATCTTGTTCATCAGCGAGCCGTCCTGAATTGCGCCAGGAGATGAAGGGGAAAGGGTTCCGTTGAGATGTATGTTCCGGCTACCACGAAAGTGTTACCTTGAGTAGTAGATTTTTAGCTTGAGAAAAAGTATTCTAAAGAATGGTCACGCGTCTTCCTTTAGCGCTGGTTTTATGTTTAAACTGGTCTTGTAAGCGATTTACTAACGTGATAACCTTATATCAAACAAGGAAATAATATTAATAACTATGAAATTGAGGCCTGATAATCGCGAATAACATCATGAACTCGTTAATTTGACTACCATTCACAAAAAATACATGAGAACGAAGTGGGGAAAGAAATGATATCACTTTATTTACAACCTTGAAAGCGCCATTCTTGTTTTGCCTACCAGTTTCGTGACCATCGCAATGATCCCAATTCAGCGGGCTGTCAATTTAGCAGGTTTAAGCTTATAGTGTAAATTTCAAATAGAATATGTATGTTAACATTGTTGCCTATAAAATGTCGCAGGGAATAAAACAAATAAAGAAATATTAGACGGGTACGACCTCTACTCTCCCTGCACTAGAAAACCATAGCAGACACAACAATGAAAATGCGTAAAATCAGGGCTAAAATTAATTCTAACTTATTTAATTCTCAATCCCGTATAACAAAGAAAAACAAACGGTAATCTTATACGTCGTCTTCAAGCAGGGCGAGTAACGTCTTCAGTTTAAGTTAAAGTTTGATATGGGAATACACATATTGTTTTTACACTTTTACACTGTAGCCGCACAAATCCACTTAAAAATTGCCATGAGCACTCATGCATCATTCACCGTGGCAACATGCAAGCTGAAAATGAAAGAGCAGACGGCTGAACATGAGCGCAGTGTAACATCAATACTTGCATCTTAAGGAGCTCAGGTGATCCTGTACAGGACTTCTGCCGGAGACGCCCTCGAGTCGATGATCTTGTGCGGTGTTTTTATCTTAGCTGTTCGATGGACAATTTCTGCAGCGTCATCTTCTCTGAAAAGACGTACGTGTTGTAGGCATGTGCGCGGTTTGTATGCTTACGCTAAATTTTAGAGTATACTCAGAGGAACGCGTGAGACTTTGTCCAAATAGCGATGTATTTTCTGCCTTGAGTGGGTCATCTTGACCCAGTTTGACCAGAAAAATATGACTAATTAGTTCCTCGTGCAGGAAGAGTGTCTTTTTGCACAATATCACCCAATAATTTTTTCTGAGGGTCGAGAGATTCTTCGGCAATGCAAAAATACTTCTGCTATCATCAAACATAAGTTTCTCTTAAATAAAATGACTTGGTTACGTTGGCATTAGCATTCAAATTACTTCTTGAAACGGAAACTTCGGAAGTTACTACAAAAAAGAAATAATTTTTGTTTCCATTATCTATAACTGAACCCATGAGCTCGCAGTGCCCCTCATGTGGGGTTATTAAAGTTCATGCAGGCACTGGCACGTGATGCATTAACTTCTCATTAACAATCCTGCAGAAAATGTGCCTTAGGCGGCGTCTGTCATCAGTGGACAGGACCCATGCCGCCTCCACCAGCCCCAGGTTCCTGTTCTGGAGTTACCAAATATCAGATTCTGCCCCGCGGTGACTGCTATTTTTATGAGGGTTTTTTACTATTAAAAGGTGCGAAGGCGTCTTACGGACCGGTCAATGATCGACCAAGATCCATTTAGGGCTGAGCGTTGTTTCTTTAGATTTTAAGATGAAACTTTGGTAGAAATATGCTGCTGGAATAGCCCATCAATTCGAAAAACATATATAATTTCGAAATTATGTTGAGGCTGAGAGTTATGAGGCCTGTTATCTAGAAAAAAATTTAACAGTTGTATCGGTACGTACCTATCTATTTAGAAAATGCAGTTTGATAGGTTTGATAGAGATGAGTGTGTAAAATCCTTTTCAAAAATCAAGGAAAATAATCCTATCAATCAATTTCCCACTATTTCTTAATTCAAATTTAATGGGTGTTAAAACCTGTATAATGATATTAATGAATTAGTATTCACTATTTTTAATTAAAATAAGCACAAACACTCCGCGTGTCGTCGAACTTGCTCGCTTACGAGCGAGGCGTCTGTCGTCTCACTCTGAGATGTTTGCCTCTCGTAAAAAAAATTTGTTTGATCTGCTTTAAAGGACTCGTTGCTGACCAGCGTCAAAGCAGCAAATTTGTTCTTTCTTTGCAATAGCAGGACGCAAAGTCCACCATATAAGTGCACTTCGTTCGGGCCATAAATGCCTATCTATCTATATTATCCTGCCTCACTCAGGAAATCGCTTGAATTGATCATGTTTTGTTCGATTAGCGACTGTCACACATTTAAGCATAGTTTATAGATATTAAATAAAATAATTTTCATAAATAACCATCAAATTAGCATGAGAAAATTTGAATGAGTCACGTCGTTGCTTTGGTAAATGTTTATCTGGATGGCAAACTTACGTATTTTCCTTCATTCAGGCTCTTCAAGTTATATTTGTTTTCGTATTCTGTTCGAGCTTTAATAGACATTTAACAGTACGATTTATCGATATATTGAAATCCAATATTAACAATTAACAGTTCACATATTCTTTTGTTATTGATCCAGGTCCTGGAGAGGTAAATGTGATTTAGTTTGAAATATTTTAATCAGGTCTGGCTCACTTTATTATAGAAATTGGCGTAACACAAAAGAAATATGGCAATAAATGAAACACAAATTGATGCAAAGCAAACTTCTATGGATGTTAAGTAATTCTCCATCATTATCCAGGCCCTGTTCCTGCACACATTTTACAGGCATGTACATTGATTAATTATTCAGAGGCTTCATATCCTTTCGCTCAAACGGGCATGCATGGGCGGACATGTTTGCGGTCCAGCTTCGAACGCTCCATGCACAGAATTTTTTGCCCGACTCAAACTTAAACATTTTATGTTGAGAACTCGCGAGCTCACACGCACTGCAGGTAAAAAGGATGAACTTGAATTTTTAAAGCAGTTCATTTCCAAGTTCAAGAGGCCATCGTCGTTCAAGGTTGTGGGAGTTGATGTGGGCGTCGTAGAGCCTTATGGGGAAGGTCGTTCCCCTCGCATAAGGAGGACCCATCTTAGGGGAAGCTCAGGGGCTCAAGATGCTTCAGTGCTGAAGACATGGCAGGTGTTGGTGCAGGGTGCTGGCTTAACGCAATGCAGGACTTATGATATCCTAATAGATCATACCTGACTAGGGACAACGTGATAGAACTGTCAGAGTCCAGCGAAAGAATGAGCTCGCGGGAAAACTGAAATGTTAATTCACAATCTCCGGTAACAAAAAATTTTTCGAATGAATTACTTAATTCAAAATAATAATAATAATAATAATGGGAGACTTGGCTGTGAAATTGTGTAGTGGGCTTTTAGTCAATAGAACGTTGAATATTCTGTTGCACGCAATTTTAGGCTAATGAACCTTTTCATTGAATTTAAGCCTTAAATGATGTAAAAATTACATGAATGTTAACCACAGCAATGACGATTTACAGTTAAAGCATTTATAGCGTTGTACAAGGAACAACATTTAAGAAAATAGCACTAAAGGTATTCAAACAAAACTCTACAGATCCCAAGATGTCTTAACGTTCTATATGTGGTGTGTAAAATTTAAGCAAATTAAAATTATTTTTCTTAATGCACACACACGAAACTCACTGCTTACACTCATCAAAGTGTTCAATTGATTTCATATCATCATGAAATGTAGTTTATTTCCAAATGACAAACCTAAAACAAGCTCGTAAGGTATTTTATGGCCGCGCATTAGCATATCGCAGACCGATTAGCGAGTCATCCTATACCTTGAGCTGCCTTTCTCTGCAGGGAACAGAGCAGCATCAATAACTGCAGACATAAAAACACAGCCTAACGCGTATAAAGATAAAACGCAGCGAATTAGATCATTGAGTGATGAGAAAAAAGTGAGTATCGCTTGCCCTTAGAAAATAATTTACTCGCCTTAGCTTCTCCTTAGAAAAAGATGAATAAAAATACACCTAATATAAGATGCATTCAAATTTAAATGTATTCAATGCAGTATTACAACTTTGAGGCAGATTTTATTCCTATTGCATACATACATTTTTTCAGCAATTATTTTTTTAAGATTTAACCTTGGAGATTGGATATTTCCGTGAGACAAAATCTGTAAAATAACCATCAAGAGATTAAGTTAGATATTGCATCAAATTTTATTTTCATTTTATTTGTATATTTTTTTAATTCAGGCACTTGCTGCTGAGTTTGAGATCATGATCTGTGAATAAATCATGTCATTATCCTGTAGAAATCGACGGAAATTTTGACCTCAGATCTATGAAATTACCCTCATAGATTTACAAAGATGGCTCGTAGCCATTATAGTAATCTGTAAGGTCTTTCAATAGCTCGTAAAGCCGCCTTAACGATGCCTGGAGCTTTCGTCACGAGGCCAACTTTTTACAAATAAATTTAAAATTAAGCAAGAAATCGTAAAAAAATATTAGGCTCCCATGGACATCCCAATAAAGGCGATAAAGGTAAAGATTAAACTGAGAGTTTGCATGGGTGTAACAGGTGAGGCATTTCTCAGCCTAATAGAGGCCCGACTCTAATAAAGATTTTTGCCGGGGCCACAAAATCAGTTTTACGGCCAAAGACTTTCACTTAACAGCAAAAAATATAGCATTTTATATCCATTGAAGCTGTAGAGCGACCCTAAAAGAAAGGTGATGAAGATATCCCATTTTATCGCTTAGGTTATTTGCGATAAAGGCCCAAACTTTCACGAACTGGCTGAATTTTTTAGATTATAACAAAATTTAGCTTTTCTCGAGTTTTGAAATTGTTGCACTTTCTTTACTCAATTTTGAAACAAAAGAGTATTATTCATCATGAAATTGAAGGCAGTATCTGTCTGATGCAGCGTGATTATACGAGAATGATAGTGGTAATCTTGTTAACCGACTATGTCTCATGGTGAAATACGATAATTGACTTATAGATTAGCTGGATAATTTGCCAATTATTTACATTCGATGAAATATATGTACTGAACATAAAATATAGCACTTCATATGAAATATTTGTATTGCACAATACACATATGGCTTATGTCAGGATGAATAATGTGGTAGATCATTATGTACTCAGCGTTGCTGTTCCCAACGCTAATACTTCACATATATGAAGATGAAGTTCGAAACTTCCAACACTGTTCTTTCCTCACTTTCAATCAATCAATGAAAATAACACTGAGCTATAAATATTTTCAGTTGAAATATGGTAATGTGCTGCCGCTGGTAATACTTATAAAGATTATTAAAATTTTGAATTACTTATATTACCCGGCTAGATAAAATTTTAACTTGAGATTGCTCTTTCTCTGCAGGTAATCAGAGTTCTTACTGGCAACAATATGGCGAGGCTGCAGTTGATGGCGCTTATCTTGCTTGTGTCGTCCGTGCGTCTCGTGGACAACCAAGAGGCCTCAACCACCTTCACGTCCGCCGTAACTGAGGCCTCAAATGCTGAGAGGTGAGTGAACGCCTTGTGTAGAAAATTTTGTTACATTTTTTGTCCGTCAAATCTAACGAAAATTCAAATATTCCAGCTTCTACCCGGCTTTAAATCTTGCGATTTTACAGTGACACAACAGTGACAAGTAGAGGCCGTTTGCTGCCGTCACTCTCGATGAGACTCCCGCGACGCAACCGCTGGCGTCAGACGTCAACGAGCGTCAGCAGCAGCGTCAGCAGCAGCGTCGCAACTGACGACGCAACCGCTGACGTCAACTCCCACACCAGCGACGTTCCTTCTGGACCTCCTTTGCAGCTCAGCGACGTAAATTTTCCTTCAAATTTCCTAGTTACATAAATGAAGATATTTTGCAAGTCGGGCTTCCGATGATCATTTGGAATAATATAAATTAGATTATCAATAGATATAACTAAGTATTGAAAAGATATTTATTTTAACTACTTTAAAAATATTTTCCTTTATCAGATACCGTAATTTGAGAACCTTAATCATCACTGCTTGAAGCCAGACTCACAGTCGGCTTGCATTTATGTTGATGGCTGATGTAGCCAGTCATGGGCTGTATGATTATATCTCAAATAACATATTTTAGTGAACGAGAAAGAACGATGTCTGATGAAGTTCCTGGATGCCTAATATTTTTACGATTGCTGATAAAGTGTAAAATTTATTTATAAAAAGTTTGCAACTGACGGAGGCTCCAGGCTTTTCATGAATTATTTTATTAATATTATATTTACAGGCTGAGGCAGAGAAGTCACTATTCAACGGTAAGCGCCAATCACGTCCGCCTAGTTTCGGTCCTCCTGCCATCATCGGCCCGCCGTCCATCGGACCGCCATCGATCATCCCGACTACAGAAGGGATACACGCTGACTTCGGCCTCTTCGGTTCAAATCCTGTGTTCCCGACCATCCCTCGACCTCCCTCATCTCCACCTCCTCCTTTCCCATCCCATCTCCACAACTCGCACCGCCCATTGTCTAGGCCACCCAGTCCTCCGTCCTTACCCATTTCTCCTCCACTACCTCCCAGGCCTCCTGCTCCACCGCAACCACCTGCTCCACCGCAGCCTCCAGCACCACCACAAACTCCACCACCTCCCATGCCACCACCTCCGTCAGGAACCCGACCTCCTGTTAGCATGCACGGCTCAGGCGCGCCTCAAGTCACAGGTTGGGTATTGTCCGCAACTTCCATGTGTAAAAATTTATTTTAATTTGAACATTAATATGAGGCGGGATGGACAGGTAATAATAATATTTAATATAAGAGAGAAAATGTCCCGAAGCTCATATTATGAACCCTATAACAAAATAAAAGAACAAACCTTACTAAAAACCTCAATCTTAATTTAGAAGAAAAACGAAATTTGAATCATCAAGCGTCAAAGAAATTAAATAAGTTTTAAAATAAACAATGTTTTTTGAAAAATTATTGACTCCATTTATGATTTAGGTGTTAGAAATAGCACATCTAAAATTTGCAGTTAAAAAATTATGTAATTTATTATTACATTCTGCTGTTATTCGACCCCGAATGACAGAGGCCATTAGGATAAAAGCTAACATGGAAATGTAAGGTAATAGACGGATGTTCTTTTTCAAATAAGGGAATAATTCCAGAAGCTTCCTTATTATATTAGCCTGTTTTCTAGTAAACGATACCAAATGATCAAATCGCTTCATCATGAATTGTTATGAAAATGAAATAAAATCTTTTCGCTTCACTTTCTGCTTCATTGAACTAAAAGATTTCCGTATCATAAGATGTATACAAAAGCAATATAGATGATGAATTTTTTTCTCTTAAGTTGAACAATGAAATGATATTTTGCAAAGATATCACTGACAACTTGGAGATATAACTGCAAAAATTATCGTTGAACAAAAACTGTAGACACATTTTACTGAACAATTTCTGTAAAAATAATTATTGAACACTAACTTACCTAAACCACTCTGAACAAAAACAGTAGACACATTTTACTGAACAATTTCTGTAAAAATAATTATTGAACACTAACTTACCTAAACCACTCTGAACAAAAACAACCGGAGGTTTTTGAAAAATCGTGTTCATCTACGAGTATAATGAAATAGAACAAATATGTTCATGCAATTTAAATTTAATTCGAGGTGTTTTCAATATTAAGTGACACAAAGTTTAGCCCATAATTTCAAAATAACCACGATGTAGTAATTATTTGCGTTCGAATTTCCACAGGAATACAGAAATTAATATCTACGAGATAAGAATCAATAACTTAAAAGTGAAAGAATTTCGTTCAGAATATTAAATACGTAATGAGAACGATGTCTTGAGGTAGTCCTAATTTCTACCGAATGCAATTTTTGAAAAATCCAAATGTTAACAACTATTGTCTTTTCCAGCCATTCCTATGCCTGACCCTGCGGTTCCCCCTGCTGCTGGGACTGCGTCTACCAGAGGACGCTCTCGTGGACATCCGATGTGAACCTCAAGATCCAACCGCCGAAGACACGCATGCCATCAGCGTTGCCACGTCACAGGAAACAAGGTGCGATATCATCTGAAAATTTTAGATTAATTTTATGAATGTTTCAATTGGGTTTATATATCATAAGTAAGTTATTTTTATAGAATAGTTTTTAGAGCTAATATAAATTTTCATGCAGAACAGTTGTCAAGGAAATTTGTTTTTACTGTAAAAAAAGAAGTTATGAACTTTTATAATGAAATCGGTACGTAAATCCATAACCATTATTTTATTACATGTATTTAAACCACTTAATTAAATTATGTAAACTAAAACTCAATTAATATCATAAGTCCTGCGGTTGCTGGGCAGCTCAGACCGAGAGGCGTCCGTTTTCGAGGGCGGGGGACAAAATTTCCAGTGCGAGATCGCGCTCTTCAGGAAGGACCCGGCGTCGGGGGGGTTCACCCAGCGGGTGCTGGAGGACACTGAGCTGGAGCTGGGCGAGGAGGTGCAGTTGTGGTCCATCGTGAAAGCAAATGACGGTAATAATTCAAAACGATATTCATTAAATACGTCATTAAGTTGGAATGGTATTTATAGGTATCTCATCTTAATATCTTCTTACTCTCGGTTGTTTGACAATCACTTTCCTTCACAAATTTCTCATTTATGTGCACCTTCTTTTTCATTACCAATGCATTTCATAAGTAATTCACTCAGCTCTTCTATAGGCCACATCGCCGAATACTCATAATTATATTGATGTCAAACCGTCTTCATTCTAGTGTGATCAATATTTCAATTGCGTGTACTGTATCATTACAAATATTCCCGGCTATATGATATATGACTACCACCATGTACCACGGTCAGGTTGGGAGTACAGCCGCATGGTGGACGTGGTGGTGCATCGCAGTGGTAGCGGCTCTTCCAGTCATCCGCGCAACACAGCTGTTCTGGTGTTCGCTGATGGCTGCAACAATCCCACTTATGAGGTTATTTTTATTTAAATTTTTTTTATTTACAGTTCACACAATATTAAACTGATGGGCAGTTTTAAACAATTCTTAAACGAGAGTTTTTTTGCTTTGAAGTAGATCCATCTATAATCTACGAATGCGGTGCAAGTGTAATTCTGAAAGGACATCATTTATTTATATAACACAAGTTGCTTACAGTTCCTTACATATATTTACTAGAACCAACAGTATTTAGTATGGTTGGGCACAAAGAGGAGTTAAATTTCAACAGAAACCGGCATTATTGTAATAAATTACATTTTGCCGCATATGTAAGAAATACTCGACAGAATCATTTCTACTATGGCCCATAGAGAAAATACTTAAGGTAACGAATAGGTAAACTTTGAAATATGTCTCTGAATTTTAAACATAGGGCTCACTTTTTAGCCCGTTGAGCATAGAAGAATACTTTTGACTCCTATTTCAATTAATCAAATTCCATCATGTGCATTGTACGGACACGATAAACTTTTTAGTAGTCTCGAACAGCTGACATGCGAAGAAGAAAAGCTCTAATTCTCCACTTTCTTAACAAAATCCCCGCTGCTTTGGAGAAGCAGCCCTGGCTGCGAGACTTGGCATCATTAGATCAACGACCAGTGAGACTCGAGGACGGTAGAGGCGAAACAAATTATAGTCGTTCAAAATTTTTCTACTTGTGGCGACTGTCCCTGTATTTGCGTGGAAATCTTTTCATTCATTTTTATTATTATGAACATTTTGGTTCTTATTTCACTGCCGCAGTTTCGATGTTCTCATGCGCTCTGAGTTTCTGTTTAGTGTTTAATCGTTATAAGTATTGTGCAGAATTTGTCACCTACCTTCACAACTTTATATAAATAACCAAGAGGATCTTGACAAAACTTTATTGTTTTAATTAACGCTTTGGTATTCGATTCCTTCGTAAGTGAACCAATTACTAACCATGAGTCAAAAACTTTATTGACACGTCAATTTTGAGTTTGTAAGGTCCGGTTCTGTCATGGTCCAGGTCTGAAATTCATCACTCACTTAGAACAGATTGTGCATGCACATCGCAAAAAAAAAAACGTTCCACCTTCCTAGTTAACAAAAACGTCTCAAATGACAAACACTTCTTAAGGCTATCCAGCATTTCTCATTCCTATAACTAAACCCAAAAAGAAGGGTCTTCTCTTCTGAAACAATGTTTTAAATAGATCGACTTGACAGGTACGAACCATCAACTGATTTTAAATGTAAAAAAATGGACATCATGTCGAAAAGACCAAGCAACGATCGACTACTAGCTGACTACTAACTCTACGTTGAAACTCACAGTTAAAGTTAAGATTTGAATCTTAATGAATCACAAGACCTCTTCACAAATTAATAAAGATTCGTCTTTAGCATGGTATGTTTCCGATTCCGAATTTAAATTGGTTCATTTCATTAACCTTTCCTTTGACATGGTCATCTTTTCAGATCGTAATTATCTTTCGTTTCCGAATAAGTTTTTTTCTTCTAAAATGCTATCTTCCGGTTTCGAAATCATTTCGTTTCGTCATTTTCTTTGGTTTCGTTGAATAATGTTCCTTCTGACCGCTCATCGCAGGCGATAGCACGCGATAAGCCAGAGCAGACACCCCGCAACCGCCTGCTGAACAAGTTCACGATGCGCGTATTTCTGTTCCAAGACATGCAGCCTGGAGACACCATCATGATCTCTGCCAAGGTGGTCGGGTGCGTCGAGGAGCAGGATTGTCTCGAGCCCGTAAGTTCAGATTCAGGCTAAGAATAAGAGACGAACTTATGTTTCGTACACTCATTTGGTTTCAATTGAAACGGTAAGCGTAAATTTAACATTCAGAATCTCAGCATTACTCAAAACCAAATACTATTTAATCGTCAGCCAATGTCACTCGTGAACTTATTATGGCACATTTGTTTTTGACAGACTCACTGCGCCGGATTTGATCGAGGCCGCAGAAAGAAGCGAGAAGTTCGTGAAGCCTCTGTTTCAGCAGCCTATGGCGCATCAGCGATACAATCGCAAGAAAACACCGATCCCTTCACAGAGAATCCTGTATTCAGTGGAGACCGCAGCACCCAATTAAAACTCACTCCTCCAGCGCCCATACCCCAAAAGATGATGCAAGCTCCTCCAGGGATCATGCATCACAACTCACTATTCAATTCCACTAAAGATTGGAAGAGAAGCTTGTCCATTAATGTTAAAAACCCATGTGAGTATTGAGAAAAATTTGATAGACTAGTAAGACAACATCAATGTACTCATAAATTGTCACGAAATAGCTAATTCAATTTATAACTCATTCTGTCATTCAGTACTTCGCTAAAATTGCCGGACTTGATCCTACGTAAGTTGATCCTTAAAGCGTTTATTTTCTCCAACAGATGTACCACAATCAAAGCTTGCATTGTCAACGCCGCAGTGTGAAATCTATTTGTTCCTGACCGTTGGAGTGGCTTGCGCCTTCTTTCTGGCAACAGTTGTTTTTGTCGTGACACTGTTTGCAAAGCGCAGAAAGCTTTGGAGTAAATTCGATTCATCTGCATCGACGTCGACCACTTCAGTCAACGTTCGTTCAGAAGGCAAAACGCAGCCGGTTACTGAAACTAGCTCTCGCTCTCCCTCGTCTTCTTTGAGTAAATCTACACCTTCAGAAGCCTCCTCGACAGACACAGATGGTGTTGAGCTGCCTTGGCTTCCTGAAGTGGTGGTGCCTGCAACCGTGAGACAAAGGAAGCGTAAAGTTAACTCCGAACTTATGGACACGTTCCAAAACGGCTCTCTGCCTTTAGCATCATGTCCTGCTCTCCTCAACTACTACGGCTACATGGTTGTACCTCGCAAAGTTTCTTCTTCAAACTATGGTTCAGAGGGACGTGCCAGTAAAGTTCGACGAGCTAAGTCACCCATTGGGACTCTGGACCGGCATTTTGACGTCAGTGTTTTGCGCGACATGGATTCAGATTACGACGAAGAATTATTTTCCAATTTAGTAAATTCACGGAATAAATCTTCTCACAAACACCGTTACAAACGCAGACAACGTAATGCCGAACGTTCACGATCACGAGAAGAAAGAAGAAACTCTCATTCAATGACGGAAAAAAATCCTGGTCAACGTCGCAGCCCTGAGAGATCGGCGGATCTGAAGCACCAGACCCTAATTCGCATACCACCTCCATCACCGCCTCTCAGACCAGCTCCAAGGCTCTCTAGACCAGAGCAGCCAAGTGATGATCACTTCTATGAAGTTCCTCAAGATTCTAGGCCTGTCATTGTATAAAAAATAGAATCCGTGAAACAAATACGCGTGAAGAATTATGCCAAGTACAATGTTTGAGCAGAATTGAAAAAGAAAATTTAGAGAATTCCGTTGGAAATCAACTAGTATTTGAAATTTAGACAAGTTCTCATGATTTTTTATAAAAGCGGTGAAGGCATGAGCGGTTACCTCACTAAATTACTGGAACACCAAAAGTACGCTCGTCAATAACGTCAATAGAGAACAATTAAGCACTACATCGCAAATTACTACGCTCGCTTATGCACCGCTTTGAGCTTCATCGTTAATACGAAAATTTTGATTGATTGTATTTGAATTCAATGATTCTGTAACTGACGATAGAGCTGGACTACGAAGTGTGTACTGTAAAGACATGATGAAATATTGTGGAATTTCTTTGATTCTATATTCATAGACAATTTGTGATTCAAGCTATCGATTGAGTCTTAACAACATCAGCGTATAACATGAATTTTTGTTCAGATTTTAATTAAAAATGAAGCGTTATTGATTTGGAGCTTCAGATTAAGCTACATGGTCTAGTTGTGTGTACAGGTACGATGTGACATGCATTACATGTTCAAGGTGTGTGTACAGTGTACAATGTTATGTGTATTTATATTTACTGTTAATTGGTCTGTAATGTAAGTGCAGTGCGTTCCTGTGTAGACGCTCGTGTTAGGGCAAAACTAGAACAGAATTTATGTTAAAACATTATAACAGAGGAATAAAAATTAGACAATTTAAATAATAGAGTAAATAACGTAGCGTGATAATTATGCAAGTAATTCAAAGTATTTGAAACTGATAATGAATGTAAAGGAGCGTAGTTACAGTAAAATATTCTTAGTTGAGGAAGCAATAAAAATTTACCAAGGAGAATATTGATTATTTATATATTTTTTGATTGGTAAACATTGATTGTATAGAAAATTTTCTTACTTTCAAAAGTGAACTAACAATATACAATTATGGCAACAGAAAACTAATTAATATAATTCATGAATCTCTCAATTTGGTTCCAGAATTTTAAAATAAAAATAAATCTAGTTTTCGTTCAGATGCAAGCAAATGTAGGTAGGATTATTAAAATAGGCAATTCATCTCTGCAACGAACATGCGTCACGTGAAATTACCAACAATTGATGACATTAATAATAACTAATTTCAATGGAATTTGCAACGTAAATACCATTTTAAAATTATTTCAAACTGAAGGTGGAAAAAAATAGATAAATTCCAATCATGAGCTATGCAAGTTTCTTCAGAGAATTCTGCTATTTCAGTAGAGAGCATTCAACGGATTCTTGACGCTCATGAATTCACAGGAGCGTACTGAGAAATTTATAGTTCTTGCGCATGAACACAGATTGGAGAATAAGTAAACGTCCCATTTCAATGTTTACTCTAAAATCAATGTGATTACAAAACAAGTACAAACGCACATGCGTGCCGCGATGATGGAGTGAAATTTTCGTTCCTGAGCCCACAACGCAAATGGACAGCAGCGATTAGCCCAATAGGAACTTCATGACGATAGTACAACAGTTTTGCGTCTCCAGCCGACGCAATATGGACAGATTTATGAAGTTTTGAAAAAATCCATGATTTACGGCACACCATCTTTTGGAATGCATTGACCAATGGCATACCAGCACGAGTGTAGCTAACGCCTTGGCAGCCTCGTTAAATAGGACAGCCTTGAGTTCTTCAGACAAGATGACATAATCGATAGAGCAGGCGCCATCTACACAGCGCAGGGCCACTCACAAGAAATTAATCGTGAGATCACAAATCATAATATCGTCTTCGAATTAAAGAAGCCGATCACAGACGTGGAATTAAGGTCATCGTAACAAATGAATAGAATGTAGCTTCAAATGTATTTCTCGGAGTAGGTGGTACATCGTATCTCTTATCAAGCGTCGAAACCTCGAGTAATTTCTATATTCCTTCCATAAACGGTAACGATAATCAGTCAAGTGATTCTAAAAAATTGAGAAGAATTAAGGAAGTGGCTTGGACCGTAAAGATTGTTTTCTGATCGGTCATGATATGAATTTCAAGGAAACAAACCACGTAAAGCCTCAGGTGACACAGAGAGACCTGTAGTACGCTTAGTACTTAGTACAGGCACGCTTAGAGGAAAATCTGTCCCGCTTTGACTGTACGACTCTTAGAATAAAAAAATTGCTGCATGAACACTCACACATTTAAAAATAAATAGAACAACACACGCATAACAACAACAAACCTTACATAGGAGACCATCAAGCATTGAAACACAATCAAATAATCATGAAACGAAAGATGTCTATGATAAAGTTTGAGGAAATGTATTTTTCAATTAAAAATGTAAACGAAAATAACGAAGAGAATAATACTGAATATCAAAAGCTGAGAATTAAAATGTTTTGTGCCGCTATCAAAGTTGAGAAGAAGTAGCAGGTTTTTTAGCGCTTTATGAAATCATGATCTCGCTTGAGTGCGGGTATTTCTTATAGAGAATCTATATAGGATAGAAAGGCCCTAATTGTCCCGCAAATATTTAAGTACGTCCGAAAACAAGAAGTAAAAACGGTAATCGAGGAGCTCGCAATCACTTGAAAATTCTTAAAAAATAAAACCAAAGAAAAAAGATTAGCTGATGATGGAAAATCAATAGAAATAGTGGAATGTAAACGAGCTAAACTCGGGCCCGTAACTTTGAAGTCATCGTGCCGTGACATGAAGGGGACCAAGCTCTGCTCTCCAAAGAAAAAAGACGAGATCTAAAGTGAATACAAAATCGGGTGCATCATCATAGGTGAAGTATGCACGGGGAGAGAAAAAAAGGCGAGAAATCTCCACAAAAAGCCTAATGCGAAAATATTTTTCACAGTCAAGTGCACTCAATATGTGTCAACTCAAACCTTAGAAGCACACAAAAGGGCAAGGCCTCGTAAAATCCACACAAAGACAGCATGAAAAAACACCTCTTCAATCCATGCTAATTTATAGCACACATATAACGCGCGACAACATAAAATAAAATTCATCAATGAAATGAAGTCGCACATAAAGATTAATGAAGAAGGTAGCACAGATACTTCAGAAGAAAAGCCGTAACATAATAAACCAAAGACCTAAAACAATGGAGTAAATCAGATAAAGTCGCTGGAAATTGAATCAATGTCAAGTTATATAATTAAATCATATCAATAAACGGACGAAACAAAGCCATGTATGCGGTAATAAAACATTCCCAGCACATGGCGAAGAAAACTTATCGTGAAGACCAAGACTTATTATTACCAAATCCTTAACGAGTTTAAGAGCCTCATATATTAAAAATATCTCATCCAGTCAACATTAAATTGATAAGCGATCCAATTGGAAGTAAAATCCATATGGCTGAGCTTGAAGATATTGGATATCGCAATGAAAATGAGTTGCACCCACCAACATTTCTGACAAATAATCTATTTGTCTTATTATATTTATTGGTAAATATACCAACAAATACTTGTTGGTACTTGAATCAACACTCCACACGTTAGGTGCATAACTAATTACGTCACTCATTCACAATAACACAAAAAGCAAAGGGTTTCACATCTGATTATTGTGCAACACGACACATTAACACAGTCTCATATTAGTGAAGCAATCAACACTCGTAGTGATGGTAATCAAAGTGCACAAGGAAATTTTGGAAGCTGAGAGGACGCATCTGAGAGTAATTTTGGACAGAAAAGTCAAAAGCTAAAAAGGTTTCTGGCACTCGGACCAATTCATAACCACGAGAAATTAATCACCAAAATAACAGCTGAAAATGACACTATTGAAAAGCATAACATGAAAAGAAATTAGATATTTATAATATCTAGATAACACTGTGCAACCTTTAATTCGCATTACAAACTTTGAACGACCGACGTTTGAATTTACATCAGTTTTGGGTGGTAACATCGAACTGATTTAGGTTCATGAGATATCGGATGCGGCCGGGAATGTTGCCTTCGTAATTTTTCAAAGCAGCGGCCGTCGCAATAAGAAGAACCTCGTTACCCCGGACGGCGATAATAAGAAGGTATTGATAATACAGAACACTTTCATTCAGAAATGAATATTGAATTCCATGCCAATACCTTACAGGTAATTTATAAATGAGTAAAGCCGCTGGAGCATTAAATACAACAAAATTAAGAGAGTTGCTCCAGTGACACTAAATATGGTATAGTCACCAGCACCAAAACAGCTCAAAGGCAGATATATCAAATGGAAAATATTACAAGAAAAAAATGCCATAGCGACTAGGAGTTTCCACACAAGACGTATTACAGACGTAAATACCGTACGAGTTCTTTCTGAGCTGTCGATATCTTACGCAATATTGGACGTGGCAGATTAGGGAAACGTTATTTTCTAGAAGAAAAACCAAGGCCCACACGTACGTATGTAGGAGTCTTTAAGGCCTCATCAACAATGATAGAACATCAAATAAATAAAATAATTGTGGGTAAAATATCATATACTGTATAGAGTAGGAATAACAACTAACCAACTAATTTTGATTTTAAAACTTGAATATAAAGAACAGAAAACAGAAAAACACCATAGCTTATAACGACGAGGCAAAAATGAGCTTTGGTGAAAATATTTGATATTAAAACAGGGGAAACCAGAATAAATTAAACCAATATTCCTCCAAAACGAGAAAAAATCAAACACATTTGAAATAATTAAACTTGCATTTCACCTCAAGTTTCTTAACTCATCATAAATATTCAAGCATACAAATTTTTTATGTCTCCGCATTCACATGCTTAGCATGTGACGCTTGCCGAAAAAAAACGTTGAATCTTGCAGTATCCAATCTTCAACAAATTATAAATAATAATAATAAGACATTATGTCGCAGCGCTGGAAGCAGAGGCGCTATCACATCCTGCAGAGACAGAAGACGATGGGAATGGCGGCTCCGACGGCGGCCACTAGAGGCAGGAAGGTGCCTGTGCTCTCGTCGCTGCTGTAGGGGTCGGGAGTGCGTGGACCGCTTGACACCTTGCGGGCTGTTGAACCTGAAAATGGAATGCAAAATCTGTACATCATCACTGTTTACAATAGAAGACTTAGTCTTAAATGAACACCAGGAGTGTCTTAAGACTTGGCAAATTATTATAATTTATTTTTATGGGAGTTATTGAAATTATTTGCCAGACAGGAAATGTATGCAAGCACTTACCTGACATTGGTGGCTGCGCTTCCTCCTCCGGCAGCAGCTCAGACTCTTCTTCTAGCGGGAAAGGAGGCAATGACGGCACGTCTGGAAAATTCAAAGTATTTCAGATTGGAAAAATATGAGTGAAATATTGCAATTGAGGATGCCCAACTAGGGAGAAGATTTGCCCCAATTGAGGGCCTTTCTGCCCCGATTGAGGGCCATGAAGAAGCTAGCAACCCACTGTTTTAGGGAACATCTGCCGTTAAATCACTCTTCTTGGCCTATCCGAAATGATTTACTCCATCAGTGAATCCATGACTAAGTATTCACACTAATCCCATTTTCAAAGATAGGACAATAAGGTGAAGCGAAGATGACTGTTCTGATTACTAAGATATTCTTCTCAGATGGTGAATGTTCCTCAAAAAATTTATTCCAATAATGCAAACCAAAATGAAAGATACAAGTGATTAGATGAATGATTTATATTCAGTCTCCAGCAAATCTTTGCCTATCGGCATAACTCAACACTCAGAGTTATAGATATTTACCCAATTGTTCATAGCGAGAGTGAAACCAAATAAATTAGCAATGAATGAAAAAACGTACGAGCCATTATTAATTATTTGACGTTATGTAAGCCCACCTTGGGGGGTGCCTCGGAGGAGGTAGATGGCATTAATCTTAGGATTGTCTCTGGGGCCCTGAAATACAATGTCCCTTATTATAGAAATGGATGTGCAAACATGCATTCAGCATTAATTTATTGTACAATATTATTCAATCATTATGAATAACCTGCTAAAAATGGAAGCAACCAATATTTTCATATGGGAGTCAGAAATCTGCATAAATATCAAATCACATGTTTACTGTAAACACTAATCAAATTAGAGAATACAACTGCATCATATGATAATTAACTGGAGCTTTAAACTTAAAGTTTAAACGGAGCACATTGAAGGTGGAAACCACAAAGAACAAATTTGTTTTCATGCTTCGTGAAAATAAATTGAAAATGCAAAATTCCAGATTAATTTTGCCTATAAATTCAGTTATAATACAGCATCAATCATCAACCAACAACCAGCAAAAATTTTCATGTTTTTTCTTCTCAATCCATACTTCCAATTATCAGTTACCTTCATGAAGTCAAGTCGGACTGAAGAATGTGTCGCCAATGGGGTTTTTGTTCCATCCCTGAGTGTGATGTAACGTGAGTCTGAGATGGTGAAGGCAATGAGCTCTTGATGCGCTACACCGCGACCCACTTGTGCAAAGATGTCAAGCTCAGAGATGACCGCAACTCCATTCAAGTGCACATTGAACACCTGCAGGATAAGGTAATATTCATTAATTCTGTAAAAGGAAGAACAGGTTAGGTTCATGTTCAAACAACTTCTTGTTGTTTGTTTTGTTTGTCTGCTACAAATCTTATAATTGATATTTAACACACTCCTACCTTCCAATCGATCTGAAATTTTGCAAACTTGCATGAAGTCAGAGGCGATGCATGAATCAATTTACAGAATAAATAATTTTTAAAATTTAACTTTTTTATATATATAAAAAATTCTAATTAATTTTTATTTAATTTTTTAAAATAAAATTAGAAATTCATTGTACATGTGTAACATCAGAGACACTGGATTCTTCAGAAGTGCTGTCTTTAAAAAGTAAATTTCAAACGCATATTACTATTACCGTACTTGGGACACTCAAAGTGCAGAAATATAAGATTTCTGTTGAGAACAAAAAATACAAATTATTCTTATGACACTATGTTGGATTACCTTCTGGTCAGGTGCATTGAAGTAGACCTCAGCAAACTTGAGCACAAGCACATAGTTGCCATCACCGCGCAAGGGGAGATCGTAGCCAAATGTGGAGTGATGGTAACGCTCCGTCTGGTACAGGATCTGCAGCAGATAGGACGTCAGCTTTGAAGAGCTACCACTTGTACTGATAGATGGTAAAGCATCAAGTTTTCTTATTGAATGAGAAATTAAAAATATCTGAGCAGCACATTTTAAAATAAAAGATTACTCTTCAAGTAAAAATGAACATCCAAATGAAAGAGATGAATAATTTAGGCAGTGCATGCAGGCTTCAAATTGTCAAATGTATAACAGTAATTTAAATCTTCTATGAAGTAGCAGAAATTGTCATAACTTAGTAGAATTGAGTAAAATATAAATTGAGTAAGACATAAATTGATCAACTCAATGGTAACTTCCCATATTAATGGAAAAATTGAGAGCTGAAAATTTCAAGAAGTTGAATCTAACCAAACAAATTGCAAACAAAGCCTTTACCTTCTATTCTAAAAAATTTGGACTTATCAGTCAGCATATCAAATTATTGTTGCTACACTGGAAGCAATGAGAATACATACATAATTCAGGACACTCAAACTTTAAATTTCTTACTTGATCAGCAGGAGGCACTCTGGCAATTATTAGGTTCTTGCCAAAGTCAGACGCTGTTCCAACATCTTTGTCAGCAAGTGGATCTCTTGAGTATCGGATGCCATGAATGTCTGTGTGGGCTTCTCCACCTTCATAAACATAAAGCAAAAAAAGAAAATTATTTTCTTGTTGATACTATATAAGAATGCAAAAAGAAAACAATTACAGAATAAGATTGCAGAACAATGAAAAAGTAGATTGGTTAATCGATAAGGCAAATGGGACTAAAATCATCATCCTTCTTTTTCTTCATATAGTGTTTGGGATAAGAAACTTAAAAATATAACCTCAATTAAAAATTGTTTTAATTGTAACTTTTTTTGAAGTTTCAACAGATTTGGGCCAAGTCTGAGAGACTTAACTAACAAGTAATACACAGTTAGAAGTTCTTAATGATTTAAATATAACATATATAGAGCATTTTAGAATTGATTTCAGGTAAGGACAGCTAAAATTTAATTAATATAAAAAATAACACATACCTGCATTAATGGCATAAATCACTTCACTTCTTGCCAGACATCGGCTGCAGTTCAGCAGCAACACCAACAGAGCCAGAGTGATTTCAAAAGTTTTCATAATGACATGCATTTTGTGTCAACTGTGGGTGCAAAAATTCTCTCTGATAATATAAACTGGATAAACGTAGGTAATCAATAATCAGCGAGTTTGTACAGTTTAAGCTAGTCAAATTTTGAACTTTTACTGGCCAATTTGCTGCAGTAGTACCATATGTATTATATCAAGTTGACTTTAATCTGGAAGCAATATTCACAAATTGATAAAAAAAATTTATTGGTTTGGTGCAGAACTTTCAGCCATAACTTTTATAGTAGACATACGTAGGCAGGTCTATGAATTTCAATTTGAGATTTGAAAAGATTAAATTGAAAAAAATTAAATGGAAATAATTGCTAAATAAATTAATATTTGGATATAACAGTCACTTCACACTTGGGAACTGATCACTCCAAGCCTTGAAGAGATCAGTTTTGGAATGACAATTATAGCCAAATTAAAATTTATTCAGCAAGTATTTATAACATGAGAGATACCTTAAAGTCTCTTGATGTTAACAGCATTGAAATCCATGCAGAAACATAAATTTTAATATTTTTTAGGCTGAATTAGGTTCCTAAAGACTTGAAATCAGACTTTGTTGAGGCTTCACTTTCAAATTTTTGAAGAAACTGCTGCAGCAGCTTGTACAGCAGTACAGCTGGCTACCAACTCAACGTTGGCCTGCCGCTTTTGTTCATTTTGTTTTCATTTACCTTTTGTTTGGGAAGGAGCTAGTGTGTTGTTTAGCAGTCCATAAAGTAGCATTGACAAGTTCAAAATGTCATTTGACCATGTTCTTTTACATTACCTTTTTTTTAATTTCATAAAATTTTCCACTTCCACAATCCGCATATACCGTTCCTGCCAAAATATCCAGCAGAAGGTGATCATTGTAATGTAAAAAAGTCAGCTTAAATGTTTTGTTGAAGATCGCCCATAGCTGCATTCACGTCAGACTGCATTAACAGATTTAACACATTGGCCGCGATTGCTGATTTGGCCCGATTGCCGTACGGGCGATAGGTTCAAACTTGTATATCTCTCTTATACACATCTAGATGTGTATAAGAGACAGCTGCCAGACGGAGGCTCCCTCACCTTTTCTGCTAAGGGAAGGGGAATCTCGGCCTCCTTTTCCCCCTACCCACATCTTTGGCCACCTATCTTCCCTGGGGCTCCTTGTGGCCTGCTCTCCTCCCATCTCTTCTTCCTGCTCGTTCTTCTTCTCCTGACCCAGGGTATACACCCCAACCTTGGCCTGCACTCCCCCTGTTCCCTACCAGTCATGTGGAGTGGACATTCGTTCTGGTGCACCTGGTGCGGTGCCTATATCCATAAGCGATGCTCTGGCCTGCGCTACATTAGACTCTACACCGAAGATTGGATCTGCCCTATGTGCAGATGGTCTGTCCCGTCCCCAGCCAGACCCTCCTCCCCCTCCCCCTCACCCCCCGACNAATGGTCCTATCTTACCCCACAAATGGTCCTCTCTTACCCCACAAATGGTCCTCTTTTACCCCCATAGTTTATCAAAAATAGCTTTTAAATGAATATATTATTGTGCATAAGTATACATGGAGTATTTTGGTCAAAATTTTCATCTTTTGCAGCCTGGTCCCATCTTACCCCAATGGGGTAAGAAAGGACTGGTCCCAATGGGGTAAGATGGGACCAGCTCACTTTTTTTAATCTGTACAGAAAACTGTATTGTATGCAAAAAGTCTGAGTTGTAGCTTTGAAGCCCATTGCATAACCACACCTTGTGATAAGTTTAGGATTTTTTAGTTATTCATGGTATAAATGCTACATGCCTGTTAGTGATTTTGGTCCTGTCTTACCCCATCTGACTATATATGGTAACAAGCATCAGTGATAAATTAGGGAGGGAGTGAAACAGTAACTCGATATAGTAGTACGGTATAATTGTTTTTCAATCAGGTATGAAATATAATAATGTTGGCAACACCCAGTTTTGTAGTTTCAGATCAATAAAAAAAATATATTTTTTTTTCTTTTCATGCAAAGATAGATAGGTACATATATTGCTTACATCAATGGACACAAATTTCGTAATTTTTGTATTACTTGCATTTGAAAATAAAACTATTTCCCTAAGCAGTAGTTGTCAAGCAGTCCCTTCAAAGCAATCCCTAACATGCCTATTGAATTGTATCATTGAAATTTGAAAGAGTAATAAGATTTTATAAAAATGTGTATTTTTCATAGGAATGTACCATATGTGTACACATTGCAATTCTGAGAAGTACAGTGTATACATATATGGCGCACATCATGGCCAACGTGTTAACACACCTTGTAAATGGCTTTTCATGGCTGAGACATGGAATTTACGGTTTAAAAAAATGGAATCACAGCTCAAAGAAATGGGATCATGGCTGGTAAATCCATAAAACCATGGCTCGAAAAATTCAGTCGCGACTTGCCAAGTAGATATATTCCATGCCTGAATTAGTAGCATGATCAGTTCCAAAATATTAGCTATATATAAAGTAAAATTTAATTAGAGAATTAATAATACTTTAAGATTATGTGCATCTAAAAAAAGGGTGTTTTTTTTTTTTAATTATATGTTTTTTTGGGATGTAGATCAAGAATCTGAAATCCATTTTTGGCGGTCGGCATCGGAAATTTTCAATAGAACCTGTTCCTAACTGGACCTAACCTGCGGTTTTAGTTGATTGGCTAGGTTTTTCCGGCCGCCGGACGGACTCCAAAGATAGAAAAAACCTATTGGCTAGGTTTTTCCGGCCACCAGACGGACTCCAAACATAGAAAAAACCTAGCCGATCAATGAAAACCTTGCAGGTTAGGTCCAGTTAGGAACAGGTTCTATTAAAAATTTCCGATGCAGACCGCCAAAAATGGATTTCAGTTTCTTAATCTACGGTACACCCCAAAAACATATAATTAAAAAAACAACCTTTTTTGGATGCACTTAATCTAAAGTAATACCAGATAATTTTAAAACCAACATGATAGCTATGTGGCGTGCACAGGACAGCACATGTTCATATATTAACTTTCTGGCATCAGAAGCAGCCTACCTGTGCCTCACCTACCACACTTTGTAATAACTATATCTGAGACTGTATTCAAGTCAGAATTCTCTAATTCATTCCTATTCAACTGGGGACTGGAGGTTAAAGACACACTAATCAAAATTTTGTTTTGTAAGAATTTTGATGAAAATTATCTTTGCAACACATCTTGAAGAGTGAAGACTGCTGCTTGCTGGCAACCCACACGGTCACACGGCCATGGTGGTTTTTTAGGAAATCCTTGGGCATTTAGCCCCAGTGCCGCCCCCAGCACTCCAGCAGGCACACTGTGGCGCTCCAAAGCAAAAAAAAACAGCCTCCCAGGTAGATCTAGGTTTTTTGCTTCCTGCTAGGTTTCTAGGTTTTTCATTAACAAACTGATCCTAATTTAATTTTTTTCAGAATGATGCACTGAAAGCAGAAATCGGTCATTAATTATTGACAAGAAAGGGAGAACTGCTACGCTACGAAGACTTACGCGATGGAGCCATTTACAGGAGATAAACTGGGAGGTTGTCTGACAGAGGCTGCGAGCCGCTCCTCTAATTTAAGTTCGACGTTCACAAAACTCAAATTACCAAGGTAATTTAAAATTGATATGTAATTGCACCGTGGTCACACCTGGTGATGCATCTTGACCCTTGGCTTTGCCACTCTGCAGAGAGTGGATGAATATTGCAAGATCTTTGGCGACGCTTCAGTAGCCAAATTTTCGGCTTCAGAAGATCTTGCCGACACATTTAGATTGAAATTCTTGCATTTAATATATTTCTCAGTCTTCAGGACTGGAGGTTAAAGACACACTAATCAAAATTTTGTTTTGTAAGAATTTTGATGAAAATTATCTTTGCAACACATCTTGAAGAGTGAAGACTGCTGCCTGCTGGCAACCCACACGGTCACACCTGGTGATGCATCTTGGCCCTTGGCTTTGGAGTTTGGATGGATAGCCGATAGGTAGGTGCTGTTGCGGATGCCGGAGTCCGGACAGTGTTGCCTGTCACTGTCAGTGTCAGTAACATTTTTGGTCTACAAATGCAAAAATTAGCAATGCATTTACAGTTTAACAAACTCTGCACTCTGCAGTGCAAACTGGCCATTGGGCATTGGCCAACAATAGTCAAGAGTGACGCCGACTCTCGTATTCACCAGAGGCCATAGTGGCAAAGCAGAGAGTTTTTTAGACTCTCCCTCAAGTTCAGTTTTGACCAGAGGCTCGTTTGCCGCAGAAAGTCTAATTTATCTACTCAAGACTCAAGAGCTTATTAATGATGCCAAAATCTTTTAAATTGGCTCAAAGCCAGATAGCCTCATAGGAAAACTAGCAATGTTAGTTAAAAAAAAGTGCTAAAAATCAGTGTTTTAGGATTTAGGTAGGGACATAATTAATTGGATATAGCCTTAGAGGCTTAGGGCCTAGGTATAGGAAAAAATTCATTGTTTTTTCACTTCTATTTGCATTCTAATTATATTTAGATGATACCTACATCCATAGTGGCAAACCAGAGATTTTTTAGAATCAGTTCATTTTTAATTTCCTCATTTACCCAAGATTTAAAGCAATTTCTTATGTAAGATAATGCTGGTATCCAGGATACTTTACTAATCTACTTATAGGACTAAAAATGAACTTGAGAGAGAGTCTAAAAAATTCTCTGCTTTGCCACTATGCCTACATCCTACTTTTCTAGATTTTTTCTCTGCCAGTCTGCCAGCAGCCAGACACATAATTTTCACATTAAGATCAAATTATCAGAGGAAACATTTTTAGTACACATACTACGGTAAGTAATTTTTGTGCAAAAGGTTTTCCGCTTCGTCAACAGCAGCCACTTCATTCTCACGAACCATGAAAGTTGTTATCATGGTTGTACTACCTTAGTATAAGTATATAATACTACTAACTACTCTACTAGTTCAACCATGGTTGCTATGGCCACGCCACGAACATCATCACTCTATCCAACCTTTCGATTTGCATCGGTTTATGAATTTGAACGATAGGACTCTTCCCCAATTGGTTGCTCCTATCATAGGAGAAACAATTGTGGAAGAACCGGTGACTTCATTCCAGAAGAGGAATCGCTGCTCTGCTGCTCGCTGGAGCCTGGAGGAAGAGCAGACAGGAGCAAGGCTGCTGGCCT